GTACTTTCATCCTTAGGTTTTGGTTATGCCAGGTATTGGGGTGGGGTTTGGGGGTCTCACCTGTGATTCTTTTTGTGTCAGAACATCTGGGGTTTTGAGCTGCAACTGGGTGTGAGCTTAATGGTTGGGCGTTCAGAGCAGAGGCTCCACTCTTGGCACAGGTGTAAAGCAGAAGGACTGGCAAAGAGTTTGATAGTCAGGCAAAAGAGTTAGAAATACACCTTTTGAGACTTTTAGGAGTCCCACAAAAATGCCAAGTCAACATCCCTAACATATATGAAGAGGACCTGGTGCAAACACCATTCATGTGGCCCACTCCACAAGAAGGAGCCCATTCACATCACTACTTGGAATACCAGGAACCCTAGATTGGACAGCCCAGATACCTAGGAGAGAACCAAACATGATGTTATTCTGCAGCACTCATAGATCCATACTGTGGCAGTTTGGATGCTTTGCCCATAGGCAGGTACAATGTTCAGAAGTGTGTTCTTCTTGGGATAGGTATGTCTTTGTTGAAGAAAGTGAATCAGTGTGTGCATGGGCTTTGAGGTTCTGTGCTCAGGCTACACCCAATGTACAAGAGAACCTCTTCCTAGTTATCTGCAGAAGCCAGTCTCCTTGTAGCTTCCTTCAGATAAAGATGTTGAACTCAGTTCGTTCCTTCCTCAGCACCATGTCTGCCTGGATGTTGGCATGCATCCTGACATGAAGACAATGGACTGAACCTCTGAAACTATAAGCAAGCGTCAATTAAATGTTGTCCTTAATAAGAGTTACCTTGGGCTGGGCAGTGGTGGCATACGCCTTTAATCCCAGCACTTGGGAGGCAGAGGCAGGTGGATTTCTGAGTTCGAGGCCAGCCTGGTCTACAGAGTGAGTTCCAGGACAGCCAGGGCTACACAGAGAAACCCTGTCTTGAAAAACCAAAAAAAAAAAAAAAGTTACCTTGGTTATGTTTTTCACAACAATGTAGACCTTCACTAAGTCACATGCCATGTTCAGTCATCAGCACAGAGGCTTCCTCTGCCACTAGAGGAAAGCAGATATTATGTGGATAGGTAAGTCTAAATTGGAGGTCTCCACTGAGTCCCTCTTTTTAGAGATTGGGGAATCCTGTGGAACATGGGAAGAAAAGAATTTTGGAGTCTTTAGATTTAGCTTTGGATCAGCAAATGTGTCTGAGGTTGTGTTCCCATTTTGTGACATCAGACTTTGTTTGCACTTCTCTTTCCTTCCAGTGCTTTCTTGTACCACCTGGCTCCTCTCCTGTGTTTCCTTCCCATGGCCACTCCCATTTTAGGACATATATTCCTTTATTCTATTTCTTCTTCCCCTAAGATCATTGAGGATTATAAGCAATGAATTTTAATCACATTTAATTCCTGCTAGAGGAACACAATTCCCTGTGTGGAATTATCCTGCAGTTAAACTCTTTCCATCTTTCCTTTTCACATCAGCTTTGCTCTTCTACCCTACGTCCTTTAGCATCTTTCTTTCCCACACTAAAGGCTGTGTTTTACTTCTCTGGATTCTGTAGGTGCTTCAAATTACACACACACACACACACACACACACATGCATACACACACACACACACAGTCCAACACTGAATCCCCCTCTACTGACTGCCACAACACCCTTCTTACCTCCATTTATCTAAAGATTCAACACTTAGATCCACATCTGAATGTAAGCACATGAAGATTTGTCTTTCTGGGTTTGGATGACCTTGCTCAATATAATGTTTTCTACTTTTATCTGCTTACCTTATTGCCTTTTTCTCTATTTCTGAAAAAAGTCTCAAATTATATAGGCATCTGTCCTAGTCACTGCTCTATTACAGTGAAGAGATACCATGACTAATGCAAGTCTTATGAAAGGAAACAATTGGGCACTTGATTACAGTTTCAGAAGTTTAGGCCATTATTGTCATGGTAGGAAGCATGGTGGTACACAGGCAGATACTGGAACAGTAGGTGAGAATTACATCCTAATCCACTGACAGAGGGGGAGACTCTGTGCTTGGCAAGCACTTTTGAAACCTCAAAGCCCACACTCAGTGACACGCTTCCTCCAATGTGCCTATATGTCCTAACTTGTTCAAATTGTCCCATTCCCTAAGAGTCAAGCATTCACATCTTGGAGCCTATGGGGGCTATCTTTATCCAAGTCGTATTTGTTTCATCTACTCATCGGCCAATGGATCTCTTGGATGTTTCTATCCCCTAGGTATTGTGAGTAGAGCAACCTGAACATGTTGAACATGAAGAGCATGTATCTCTGCAGTAGGAAATAGAATCATTTGGATATTTGTCAGGAGCCATAGTGTTCACCCATATAGTAGATTCATTTTTAGTTTCCTGAAGAGCTACTACTCTGATTTCCACAGTGGCTGCCCCAATTTGTAATCCTGCCCACAGTAGAGGAAGGTTCCTAATTACTCCAAAATAATACTTAGCAATGTTTTGTTCTCTGTCTCTCTGTCTCTCTCTGTCTCTCTGTCTCTCTCTGTCTCTCTGTCTCTGTCTCTTTCTCTCTCTGTCTTTCTGTCTCTCTGTCTCCCTGTCTCTCTCTCTTCTCTTAGTTTTCTATTGCTTCTTCGTGAGTTCTATATCATGTACCCCAATCCCACTTATCTCCCTGTTCCTTTGTATCTACCCTCTGCCCTTGCAGCCTTCCTTCCCAAAGACAATGAAAATCAATAAAAATAAACCAAACCAAACAAATCATAAAAAAAGCTCACTGTGGAAGCTCTTGTGCATTATAGTGTGTCATACAATATATCCTTTTGTCCACACATGTTTACTTGCAAATGTTTGTTGGCTCCTTGCTGGCATATCCAGGCGAGAGGAGAGCGGTCCAGTCCTGCTGAGTCTCTCTGAGGCTGAGGGGGATGGTGAGTGTCAAGGGCCCAAAAGAAACACACCAGGCTGTGAGTCTTGTCAAAACAGGAACTCAACTTTATTGCATCAGCCTCTCGCTTATATAAACTTGGAGCATAGGGAGGGGGATTTTTGGTGGGGTTAGATGACGCAGGAGACAGGGAAGGGTGCTGGAGGGTATGGGGTGACTGACAGGACCAATGGCAAAGCTCTACATTAGCAATGACCTGGCAGAGTCAGGGCCACACAAGTCTTGCTGAGTCACCCCTGTATGGAAGTGACTGAAACAGGTCTTAAAACTTGAACCAGGCTTAGGCTCTCCTACAAGCCCACAGAAACCTGAGCCAGGGCTCGGGTTTGTCCACAAGGCCCAAACCAGGGCCAAAATCGGGCCCAATAAATTTTCATTAGTTTGTTTCAAGGCCTCTGACTTCTCTTATACTTCTACAGTGGCTCCTTACAGAGACTCCTCTTGAATATCCTTTTGTTGCCCTGTGTCATGGGGATCCTGCAGCTTTGGATCCAAAAGACCAGTCCTTTCACATGCTCCATTAGTTTATAGATGATGTAGATGTTGCAGTGGGTCATATCATAAGCCTGGATTTGGGCCTGGGTGGTAGCTGGGTTGGTTAGCTCACTAGCTCTTCTCCTCACACCACCAGGGTGAGCTCTCTAGCACAGCCCTGGCTTGCTCACCCAAAGCCTCAGCTTCAACATTTCCTTCTCATAAGCCCTGAAGGCTCACTTACAAATGCTTTCACTATCAGGGCCAGATCTAATGTGCAGCTCGGTTGAGGTGTGGGTCATTCTCTCCTGAGTGTTGCAGGTGGCAGGGGGTGGGCCAGCTCTCCAGCTCTCACACCCTCAGTCTGCTTCATGGTGCCTTTACAATCAGGGCCAGATCTACTGTGCTGTCCAGGTGAGGTAAAGGGTCTTCTCTCCCAAATGCTACAGCCAGCAAAGTGTGTACTTAGGTTTCCACAGTGTTGCAGCCAGTGAGTGGTGGGGCCAGCACTGCACAGCCCTTGGGTATCAAATATTTTTCCAGATGGAGAACCAGACCAGAGTTGACCACATGGTCATAAGTGGTAATATAAGCCATGGACATGAATACAGACCTCTGCTGCTGCACGACATGGCCATCAGTTACAGGATGGGCTGGGCCTTCACCATGGCCTGAGGGGTCAGGGCAGGCTACTCATATCAGGCTACTTCTCTCCACCCTTGCGTCTCTAGTTCTGTCTTTTTTCGTAATGCTCAAAATGTTCTACTTCTCTTTCCCTTCCATCTTTGCATCACATACTTGCACACTTTAGGGGTTCCCACTGTGAGGAGCAGTGAGTTGGCCCTTGGGTGTCTTCCTCTCATCTTTGATGCATGGTGTGGCTACAGACAGGCCTGTGGGTGTCTTTCCCCACCTGTCCTAGGTTTCCTGGCTCTGCTGTTGTTGTTTTTTTTTTTTTTTTAACAAGCCATTCTGGCTGGAATATGATGAAAATTTAAGGTAGTTTTAATTTGAATTTCTGGGATGATGAACACTTTTGACAACATTTCTTAGCCATTTGTTTTCCTCTGAGAACTATGTTTAGTTCCATAGCCTGCTTTTAAGTTATTTTTGTTTCTGTTATTTGCATTGTCAGCTGTAGGGACCTGGCTGTGTAGTTAGTTGGTCAGAAGAATTATTTAATGATACCATACACACACTACAGAAGCATTGCTCTGCATCTTTTCTGGCTTTCCACATCTGTATTCTAAGTTGTCCTCTTTCATGCCTGTTGATTTCCCATCTAGACTATTCTAACTGTTCCAGTAGATTTGTGGGGCATTTGGGATCCAAGCTTTCTGCTTTCATCCACTGTTTTCTCTCAAACATTACCCACAAGTGCACACATATATGTGAATGCCAGAGGATAGTATGCCCACACCCATAAACTATTTGAGAATTTAGGGCCAGAACAGGAAGTGTATAGAGAAACTCTTTCCTGGCCCAGAGCTGTGGTGTAGAATTGAGGAGTCAGAAGCAGGTTTTGTGCAAGAGTATGTCTCCTTCCTGTTTTGTTGTCATCATCCTTGACGGGTATTGTGGACACCAGTCTGCTCTGTCCCATAGGTGTGTCCCCCTGTGCAGAGTGTGCTGCCCGTTCTCTGTGCCTGTATGTGGTGATCTTGTAGGACTCACTGCCATGGGCCTTGGGTCTGTTCTTCTTGGATTTGGTAAGTATTACAGGGGTCATTATTCTTAGCCAGAGAGTAATGAATACAGACTCCCAGGTTTAAAACCAGGGTTGTTGTCACAAAATTCTTCCTCTATGAAGACCTGTCCTGATGGCTGCAAAAGGTTCATTCCTGACCTCAGCCTGCCCATCCTGTCCTGGTCTTTCTATCTGAGCTCTGGGTTGGGATCAGTGTATAACAGGACAGATTCTTTCAACGGGTCTTTTTTTCTTCCTGTTTCAGTGTGTTTAATGGAGCAGATGATCTGGGCACACTCTGGTGAGTCTGTTCTCTATTCCAACCTTGGGGATCTGACTTTGTCTGGGAGTATCATGGGAGGAGTTTGAGGAGGCATCTTGAGCAGACCCTGAGATGGTGTTTTCATTGGCAGCCACCTGTCTGCTTCCTTCATATTTAGTCCTTACTATTGTCTCTGTCTTTCTGGTGTGGATTCTCCGCCATTGGCTATTAAGGCCCACATGCTATCTGGCTTAGAAGGACATTCAAAAAATAATTTTCACACACACTTTCTTTTGATGATATAGACATTTAGTTTTGAATTTGTTTTCATTTTCTCTCCATGTCTTCTCATGTGGGCTCTGTCTGGCTCTCTTATTGAGGCCTTTCCCTGGGAAGACATTTTATCCATGGGACAGAGCTGAAGTAACTGCTGTCTAATGAGGGGCAGCACAGACAAGGTTCATCGATAATCAAAGGCTCCCAGGTTTTGTGTGAGATTGGAGTGGTATATAATGATTGGTTTTTACAAGGAAGAAAGAGGCAAAGTAAGACATATGTCAGTGATTTAATGAAACACCATGTTTACTGGGCCATGGAAGTGTCAATGTTTGGTCTTAATAATATCAGTCCTAAGTGTTGATTCCTGGACTGGCAGGAGACAAGGAGAGAATCTACTAAATAGCACTAAGGTATGAGAGTAATTCTTATGTTGTTTGAAAATTGAAATATGCCAGAAATTCTGCTGGTTAGTTTTCTTTCAGCATGACATAAGATAGTGTCACCTGGGAAGAAGGAATGCCAACAGGGCAATTGTCTTTATCATACTGGCCTAAGCACATGTCTGTGTGGCCATTTTCTTGTTTCATGATTGACATGGGAGCTACTCCATAGCTCACTGGGAATCAGGCTCTCCTGACATCAGATGACTAGATTTCTTTTTCTCTATCTCTGTAGAGCCATCTCCCCAGCCTTCTATCTGGGCAGTCCCAGGAACTGTGATTTCTACAGGCAGTGCTGTGACCATCTTCTGCAGGACCCCTCCAGGAGTGACCAATGTGCGTCTTCAACATCATGTACTCAGTGGAAAATGGTATGATTGCACTCCACAGGGGGGAACCCAGGAAGTCTGTGAGTTCAGTCTGAAGAATATGATGCACATTGATGCTGGGATTTACTCCTGTAAATACTCCAATGGATATCAATGGTCAGGAATTGGTGACAAACTGGAGTTGGTAGTGACAGGTGAGTAATTGCTGTGAACCCTGTTCTTCAGCCTTAATCTCTGTTGCCTACCTCAGTGAACTAACTACACATGCCCGTCACAGGCCTTGCCCTGCATTTCTGCTCCTGTACATTGATCTCTCCTCTTCCTTTTCCTCTTCTGTCCTGTCCTGTCCCGTCCCATCCCGTCCTGTCCGGTCCTCTCTTTGCTTCCTTTCCTCTTATTTTATTCTTTCCTTTTTAATTTCCATTTTCTCCACTTTTCAGAGAAAGGATCTCAAATATCTATCTGGTCTTGAACTTGATGTGTATCTCCACAATTCTTGAACTTCGGATTCTTCGGTTTCTTCTCTGTTAGTACTAACATTATATACTTGGACAACTACATCATTCAAGTGATGACGGATATAGAACCCAGGTCATTGCATACATTTGGCAAGAGCTCTACCAACTTAGATTCATACCCTGACCCTGTCTAGGACAGTGATCCTCTGTGCTGACTGTGGCCTAGACTCCCTTCAGAATGGTGACTATAGTCCCTAAGTGATGGAGTTCCTGGGGAATGACAGCAGCTTCTGTAGCTACATAGAGCCTTCTATGGTGTGTTTCATTGAAAATAATAGGAGCATGCTTCCTGATATTTATAGATTGATGAATTTCCTATTAGTTTCTTTTCTTGTATTTTATGAGTCTTTGAATTATATGATCAATTCTAATAATGCTTTTTCATAAAAGGGTCTTTTGTGATTTTTTTCTTGGGGAGGGGTTCAAATCTCATTTGTAGCTGTTCTTGGTCTTGAAATCTATATACATAGAACAGGATGATTTTAAATTCACAGAGATTTTCCTGCCTCTTCTTCCTGAGGCATGTGCTACCATAAGGAGCTAATAACAGGGTCTTTTCACTTGCAGGTGTTTATAAGGAGAAGCCATCCCTTACTGTTGATTCACGACCCCAGGGATTCTCAGAAAGAAATGTGACTCTTGGTTGTTACACACGTCATTCCTCTGACATCTTCATTCTCTGCAGAGATGGAAATGCTTCCTTTCCTCTGAACTGCTTACAACAGGGCCACAACAAATTTTTCATCTCTCCTGTGAGCCCAGGGTACAAGAGGACCTATAGATGCTTTGTGTCTTCCAAAGTCAATGCCTTCTTGTGGTCAGTGCCCAGTGACCCCCTTGAGCTTTCAATCCCAGGTAAGAATGTCTGATATTTGGTCATTGTCTCTGTGCCTAGAGTGGTCTCAAGATATGCCATGTGGGATATATCAAACCCACTTTATGTCTGCTGTGTCCTGTCTGATACATAATGCACTGCTATTCTGACTGGACTTGTTAATTTGCATCTGGACTCTGAATATTTTCTGCTAATCATATGAAATTACGGTAGATGCAGGTGTATTCTTTTGGAGAACAGATATTAGTCATCCTGGTATATGATGTTATAGTTGTGGCTGTGTAATTTACTTCAGAGCATGCACATTCACATGCATGCACATGCACACACATGTACATATACCTTCCCAGCTAATAGTGATACTGAAAATGAAAAAGTCTGTGTTAGTTTCTTCATTCAGGAAGCCTTGAATCTTTTCTCCGAACATCTTTTTTGAGCACAGTGCTGTATCTAACAAGCCATGATGGACTGTGATTGTTATGTGTTAATTATATTCTTTTGGGAAGATACAAGTATATTCTTCCTGGAGGTAACAGTCCTTACCTCTCCATGATGAGATGCATTCTGATAGCTGCCATATCCCTGGTTTATTGTTACTCACCAACATTCCTTTTGAATTGTGTGTGTGACAAGTACACTAGCCAATGATGACAGAAAAGTTGAAAGAGTTTGTGGTAGTTTCTGCGTTCAACATGACATTCTAGAACTCAAATGATCATTGTTTTTCTTTTCCTGCTCTTCACATATGTCCTTGTGCTGTCACAGAGTCTGGCTGTCTTTCTTGCACTGGGACTCTTCAGGCATCCTCTTCTGCTGTCATTCTCACATGTCTCATTGTTAAATCACCTTTCGTGTCTGGAAATAGCTTTTAAATTCTTGTTCCTTCTTTCTTGTGTTGTCTCTGACATGTTACAGGCACCTTTAACCCAGCCAATTTACTGTTTTTCTTCTTTCTACCTGGTATTTTTATCCATTCATCCCACTGAAAGTTCACATTAAATATTTTTTAAAATGTCTCTGTATTTCACACAGTGATGGGTTCCATAATGCCATTTTTCTTCAAATGTATTCTGTACTATGGCAATATTCACTTCCATTATTTTCTTTTGTATCTCTGACCACTCTTACCATCTTCTATTCTTATCTGGTCTCTTTTCTCCTTGATGTCATGAATATGTACATTCTATAGATGTGTATAAATGCGCGCACATGCACACACACACACACACACACACACACACACACACACACACACGTTTATATACCCAACTTCTATGTAGGAGGCAAAACGTATGCCATTTGATTCTGATTTATTTTGAAGTTCCATGTTCATTAATCTGCCCAGTTACATCAGTTAGTTCATCTTTATGTCTGAATAAAACCCCATTCTGCGTAAATACTATTGTTTTGGTTAATGATTTTGTTGCTGCGATGAAACATGTGACAAAAGCAATTTAAAGACGTCTGAGTCTACTTTATCTCACATTTTGAGGTATTTGAGGTTCATTCAACATGGTGGGAAAGGCATGGTGACAGGAACTTGAGGCAGCTGATCACATTGCATCGGTGTTTAAGAAGTGAGGAAGAGACAGAGGTGACTGCTTGGGGTCATGTAACTTTCCCCCTTTTATATACAATGCAAAACTCAGGTCTTGGGAATAGTACTTTTCACTTTTAGAATTGGTGCTCCCACTTCAACGAATATAATCAGTGTGACCTCTCATAGGCATGACTAGAAACTAGCTGAATCTAGGGTACCCCTCACAGACATGCCGAGAAGCTTGTCTCCTAGGTAGACACTGACAAGGTACTAATCAATACTACCAACACAAGCAAGTTTTTTAAGTGAATTTTTATTTTAGATCACACAGAGCAATAGATTTTATTGAAACATCTTTATACACACGACATTATGCTTTGTTCTCATTGCTACCCTCCCTCTCTGAACTACTCTGTGTCCTTTATCTCCTGCCAACTAGTCTCCTTCCTCCCATAGTTAGTCCCTATTTTCTTTTCTTTTTTTTTTTTTTTAAATGTGAGTGGTGTGTGGTCCATGTGTGGTGCATGCACACATAATAGTGTGGGTATATGCACACAAGCGGGGGCCAGTTCAAGATGTCTGGTGTCTTTCTATACTACCCTCTACCTTATTTCCTTGAGATAGGACCTATCACTGAACCTGCAGCCTGCTGTTTTCGTTAGGCTGGCTGACCACTGAACCCTTGAGGCTCTGCTGTCTCCTCTCTACAATGTTGAGGTTATAAGCATATACAGTTTATGTCTAAGTTTTCATGTGACTACTGGTGATTTGAACTCAGGTCCTCATGTTTAGAAGGCAAGTATGATGTCTTAGTTAGGGTTTTACTGCTGTAAACAGATACCATGACCAAAGACAACATTTAATTGGGGCTGGCTTACAGGTTCAGAGGTTCAGTCCAGTATCATGAAGGTGAGAACATTGCATCATCCAGGCAGGCATGGTCCAAATGAGCTGAGAGTTCTACATCTTCATCTGAAGGGTGCTAGCAGAATACTGGCTTCCAGGCAGCTAGGGTTAGAGTCTTAAGACCAAGCTCATAGTGACACATCTATTTTAACAAGGCCACACCTCCTAATAGTGCCACTCCCTGGGCCAAGCATATTCAAACCATGTCACCAGTCTTTTGCTGTCTTTCTTTTTAAAGAAATGATTTCATTTTTGCTTTGACACAGGTTTCTCTGTTTAAACACCCTATAACATGTTCTGTTGACTACGCTGGCATTGAACTCAGTGATCTGCCTGCCTTTGTCTCTCAAGTGCTGAAATTAAAGGTGTATAACACTGCTGACTGGCTCAGTTCACATTGGTATTAGAATTTTAGGCCAGGTGTGATGGCAAGCACACATATCTTCAATCCCCGCACTCAGATCTCTGTGCGTTCGATGCTATATGAGTTATTACTGTGTAGAGAGAATCTTTTATAAATATCACCTGTCAATAAAGAAGCCCATGGCCAATGGCAGGAATTAGGAGGTGGAACACTGGCAGGAAGAAAGAAGGTTCTAGGAACTAGTTAAGAGTATAAGAGAGAAAGAGAGAGAGAGAGAGAGAGAGAGAGAGAGAGAGAGAGAGAGAGAGAGAGAGACCCAGAAAGAGATTGCAGACATAAGATGGACTGAGGAGAAGGTCATAAACCAGCAGGTAGAGGAACTTGGAGTTGCTGAGGAGATGAGAAGAAAGAAGCAGGCAGAGAAGATGTGGTGACACAGACGCATGGTTCTTGAGCACAGGTAATCAGCCACATGGCAGAATGTAGGCTAGAATAAATGGAATATCTTCAGTTATATATAGTCAGAAAAGAGCCTAGCTATATGGCCAAGTTTTTGTTTTTAAATATATTTTGAATATGAGTCTCATTTCTTGGAACATGGGGCTGGGAGGAAGAACCAGGGCCATTACTTCTTCTTTTTTTTCTCCCCCAAGACAGTCCCCACTGCTGCTTTCCTGTTACATAATTTCCTTACACTTTCAGTTTCCTACTGATCTTAAGTTCTCATACCTTATGATCATCTTTTTTAGTTTCAATACACACACTCGCATAGTTTTAAATATAAGTTTCTCACATGAGTGAAACCACGTGTTATTATCCCTCTGAGTCTGGCTTACTTGGTGTAATATAATGATTTCCAGTTTCATCTATTTTCTTATGGGCATCATGATTTCATTTTTCTCTCCAGCAGTATAAAGTTCCACCTTGCCTACATATTACGTTGTCTTATCCATTTATCAGTGGATGGACATCTATCCTGCCCTGTGTAAATTCCCTGGCTACTGTGACTAATGCAAGAGTGCACACAAATGCGCAAAAACCCTGTCGGTTGGTTTGCTAGGATTTGCTTCTAGGCTCTGTCTCTTTTATTAAAACAAAACAAACCAAAGAAAATATAATATATTAGATACTGCATGCCAATCACTTTATTATTTCTTTTGGACGTATCTTTGTAGGTTACAAGTTCAATTTCTGATGGTTGTAGTTCATGTTTGACCTCCAATTTTTATTATAAAATACTTTCCCTGTTGTCTCCTGATTGTCTTTTCTGTATGTGGCTTACTCAGTCTCCAAGTCAAGATTCGTGTTATGTTCTTCCTAGATTATCTGGATAGAGTTTTTCTTGAACCCCAGAGGACTGAGTGTTATCCTTTATGAACCACCTCACCAAATGAACTTTCTTTGTTATTGTATTTAATTTCTCTTATCAGTCGGGTATGCTTTTGTACGCCTATGATCCCAGCTGAAGGCAGCTGACATCAGGAAGGTCTCAGGGTTGAAGTCATCCTGGGCTACATAGTAAGACTATTTTATGACTCGTCATAGACACGACCTATATGATCAATAACATATGGATTGATTGCTTCAATTGTTTTGTTAGGTAGGTTCCCTATAGTTTCCTAAATACCCAGTACTGTGTTTGGTAAAATGTAGGCACTCAATAAATTTTTGATTGAATGAGTGAATTAATGTAATACACACTGTTTTCTGTTTGCAGGTCCATCTGTGTCTCTCATTGTGGTTTGGGTCACAGTTTCTGCTGTCTGCTTCCTCATCTTCCTCCTCCTCATCTGCCTCTGCCACCATTGTGCCAAATGTAGTATGTTCCAGGAAGGATACTAATCTGGGAGGGTTGTATGGGTTGTATGGTATGTATGGGTCTTGTTGGGTTCCAAGACTGCTCTTTGTCTCTCTGCAGAGGCCAGCAGTGGTGAGACCAGGAGCCAAGTGAAATATAAGAGGTAGGGAAATTTGACTCTCCCAATAAATACACCTCTGCATCTCCATCTAAGACTTTTGTCTGAGTACTAGAGATTGAATCCAGGGCCCCTACTGCTCAACAAGTGCTCTTAACTCCTAAAAATTCTACTTATATATAATTTTCTAGGCATTATTTAACATTTCCACTTCTTTTTACTCAGCTCCAGCTCAGCTCCCATGGACACCGAGGAAAAAATTAAATGTAAGGTGGAGTGTGTTTCTCTGAGGAACGCTTTCCTCATCCCTATGTTTGTGGGACTTAGGGAAGAGCAGAAGAGGTGGGAGGTGCCACTCTGCAATGTAATGTTGCTGTCTTTCCCTAGGATTCTGTTGGTCATTTATGCAATATGAAATACAAATCTATATAGTTTAAAGGCTCATGTGAAAGAGGCCTGCTTTCTTACTTTTCCTTCTAGATGATGAGTTGGAACACATTCAGCCTGAAAACTGCAGCCAGGCAGACACACAGGTAAGCTTTCCCTCCCTTCCTGCTCTTCTTTTCTCGAATCCTATCTAGGTATTCTCTTCATAATTTATATCTCACCATGGCAGGTGTCTGCAGCAGAAGACACCAAGGAGGTGACTTATGCCCAACTATGTCAAGAGATCTTCCTGGAGAACATGGATTCACCTCCCTCCAATACACTTCAGGGCATGTCTACACAGACCTGTGTGTATGCCATGCTCAGATTATCGCAAGAGGAGAGCCAGAGTTAGCAATGAGGTATGCAGGTATTTCTTCAGCAGAGGGAGGTGCCATGAATGAAGCTTCTCTTGATCTTCAACTCAAGCCATCAGCTTGGAGCTCCAGTGACCTCAAGTGTAGAGAAGCTTGTTAATGAGGAGGAACCCTGGAGCTCACAGACCTCACTCAGCAAACTTCCAGTTCCTTGTGATTTGCTCATTTATGCTCCTGAGTACCTTTCAAATGTGTGCAGATGACTCCCTGGGCTCACGTTTACTTAGTAAGACATGGTTTTCATCATCTACTGAAAGAGGCAAGTTGAACAATGTGGAATCCTGTTTATTAGTGATGCAGAGCACTTCAACAGAGTAATCCTTAACCTTGACTCTCAAGAGATGGGTTTTAGAATCATGTAGGAGACATACCTGTAGGTGTGTTTCAGAGCTTCTCCAGAGATGTTTACCTGAAGTGAAAAGACATACCATGAAAATAGGTGATACTATTTTATGGGGCAGTGTCTTAGATTAAATAAAAGGTAAAAATTAAGTGTAACATCTTCATTCATCTCTGTCTCTGCTTCCTGACTGTGGATTTAGAATGACCATCTGTAACATGTGCCTAGCACTATACCTAGAGGCACATTTATCTACTGTATCCTCACTTAGACTATACCTTCAAACTAAGTCAAAACAAACCCTTGGTGATGATTATTCTCAACTGTCAACATGATGAGATATAGTCTCCTGGGAGACTGGCCTCTGCACATGCTTGTGAGGGATTATTTTGATTAGGTTGAGGTGTGAAGACCTGCCCATTGCATTCCTTGCATTGGGATTCTAGACTATCTAAAGCAGAGATAGTCAGTTGAGCATAAGGAATCATCACCTTCTTCTTTTTGATTGTGGGTGCAATATGTTAGCTTCATCAGCTTCCAGCTGCCTTGACTTCTCCACCATGATAGACTATAAACTTTGAACTTTCCCTTAAGTTGCTTTTTGCCAGACAAAAAATGAGAATTCTTGCTATCACTTGGTTCTGTGGATAACACTGAGACAACCATGGGACTGCAAGAATCTCTATGAGGAGACAATGTTATTTCATTTGTGCATATATGCAGAAGAGATGATTTGGGTAACACAATAGACAGATCTTTTCAAATGCATTTAATAACCTTCATGCCATTTTCCACATAGTCTGTACCAGTCCATGTTCCCTCCAACAGTGTACAAGCGTCCCCTATTCTCCACACTCTTTCCAATCCTTTGTCACCTCTTCTCTTTGGTGAGGAACATCCTAGCATATATAAGGTACTATCTCATGGTGGCTCTCATTGTCATTTACAAGATAGTTATTGATACCAAACACCTTTCTGTATACTTGCTGTAAATTTTACATCTTCTTGAAGATGTATAAAATCCATTTTGTTTCTTATTACTAATTTTAGTAAGCATATAGAATAATGTGCTTCATTATGACATTTCACACACACACACACACACACACACACACACACACACACACACACACCATTGTACCTTGTTCATATTACCATTACCCTCTTGTGTTTATACTTCCTACAACTGGTTTGCTCTCTCACTGACAGTAACTCTGAAGGAGGGTACTAACTACTTAAGTTACTATAACCTTACTATACATAGCACCCAGGAGGAGAGGTTAACTAGTCTTGGTGATGCCTGCTGTTAAGCCTGAAGACCTGACGTTGATCCCTGAGATCTTCTACATGGTAGAAGAAGAGAACTGACTCATAAATAAGACCTTGTCTCTAAAAGGAAAAAGAAAGCAGATAGGAAAATCTGGTAGGAGAAACAGGGAAGAGGTTCTAAGGAAGAGAATGGGAGACGGATCTGATCCAACCACATTATATGCATATATGAGTAATAAATAAAATATTTTAAAAGTTACTGAAGAGAAAAAGAATGAGAAGGAAGCTGGGAAGAAAGTTGTGTGCCAGAGCAGTGAGACACTGTGAAATAGCTTTGGGTGGGGAGGAGAAGAGTTAGAAGTAATTGAGAATGTGAAGTGGAAGTGAACTAGGGGTAATGTGAAAAAGTGTGTCCATTTCCGGGGAGGGAGAGATAAGTGGCACCTGGAGGCATAGTCAGATTCTGCTTCTGTATCTGCTAGCCTCAGAAATATAAATATATCTTGTAAATTGTCCCTTAAGGCAGCACAGTTTACAGGAGAACTGTGCAAGCTCATATGACCATATAAGGGTCATGCTCGACACTACTGGGAGTTAGAGAAGTAAACGTTGTAGAGCTGTGTGTGGAGACACATATCTTTAATACCAGCACTAGAGAGGTTGAAGCAGGAGAATCAGGAGTTTAAAGTCCCTCTTTGCTACATAACATGCTTGAGTTCAGCCTGTAGTACATGAGACCCTGTCTAACAACAACAACAACAACAACAACAGCAACAGCAACAGCAGCAGCAGCAGCAGCAGCAGCAGCAGCAGCAGCAGCAGCAGCA